AAAATGTGTACAAAGGCGTTCGTGGATAATATTTTAATTAGAAAAGTATGTAACTGATACACATAACATATATACATATATATGTGTAATTTCGAAACAATTACTAAACATATTCACTCAAGAGATTTAAATATATTCCTTCGGGATGAAAAACAAAGGAACTGTAATTCTTGAGCTGATAACATTGAAACAGTCGTATGATTTTATTATGTACTTATTCTATAAAGTATGAATAGTAATTAATGATTTAAAAAGTATTAATTAAAAAGTATTAAAGTATTAATTATTAATTTAAGAGTTGATTTTGATAAATATTAATCAAATGCCGTCCATAGTATATAGTATATAGTCCATATAATATATAGTCGTTTACTTTATAATATTTTTACCCTTTTTAACTCACTTACTTGATTTTCGGAAAGTTACTATCCCCTCACTCTATCTGAGGTTTACAATATGTATATTACCATATTTCTCTCTTTTCTCCCAATCATTTCCCAGTATATTCCGTAATAATTCTTTAAAGGGTCAGGAAATTCTATATCCGTTTGATTAAAAAACTTTTCTTAACTCTATACCATTCTTTATTACAGTTTTTATCGTGAATATCATATTCTCTGTAAATATAAATCTTGTCTATGAAATTTGCCTTCACGGAGGTATAATCGGTTGAAAAATATAACAATGTTCGATGAAATATACCTGAGCTGTCGTATCGCAAATATCCTGTAGTGATTGGTACTAAATTGCTTTATTTATTCTACAACTAATGTTCAAAATTTTATTTATCATCCCATTGTGCAAGTGTTACGAAATCTTTATTTGTATTAATGAAACTTATAATATAACAAAAAAATATATTTCTGAAAATATTTATGTATATAAAACTATTATCTTTTATTAAGATTCTACTTAACTATCAAATATGTTAAATTTTTCAATTCCATATGAAGAGGTTTAAAATATATAAAATAAATTAACTTGTGGAGACTAGTATTAACAGCTTCTTTTGATAATATATTATATCGGAAAAACAATGTTCAGTTGCATAAATTATTGTGATTGAATTAAGAAGTCTATTTTAAAGTTACCGTAGATTAATTACGGGATGGAGAAAAACAACAAAATCAGTTTTATACTATGAAAGTTTTAGTTAGAAGACTAATTAGTTCAGTCAAAACTAATGAGATTGACTTACAAATAATACAAAAGAACGAGAAAATCGTAATATAAACTTCAATGTCTTCTCGCTTTAGAATTTGATGTTACTTTCATTGTAAAAGGGGAGCGTAATTGTCTTTTTACCGTCCATAAAATTGACGTGTCTGTTATTCCCGTTACAATAAATGTTTTGGAACCTAACCGAACAATAATTTCAAAATTATTTAACGAAACGAAAATAAAACAAAAAAAATCCTTTAAAATCAATACGTTTCGTAAATCCCATAATAATGTGATACTTTTTTACTGTTATAAGAAACAAAATATTTGCTTACTTTAGAATAATGAGTACATAACGATAAACGATTGTATCTATAGCTTGTATTATTTTTTAAGTTTTCAGGCATTAAATTCAAATACAGAAATGAGAGTGTGAACCTTCGTGTTCTTGTAATGAAATCGTTTTTCCAGTGTTTTGTTTTAACATCTTCGTGTTTATATACAAAACATAGCCGGCAATTACAACACATTACTTTATAAGTTACACAATACAATATACATTTTAAAATTCAATATTCTTCTCATAATACGATCACATTATAAAGTATAGTATACTATTCATTAAACCAAGATCTAAGTCACAGATCTTATGTCAACTCGTTATTACTTCTACTCTTTATAAAATCTAGTTAAAAAGATAAATTAAAAAGTTTATTATTATTATTTGACACATAATATAAAATAAAAAATATATATATTTCTTAATATTATTTTATTTTAAATGATCAGAATCCCTAGTTAAATAACTATTACAAACAATAACAACATCTCGTAGCTCAGGTTCTGGTATCAACTACACAATTTGCAGTAAATTACAAGTTAACTCATCCGGAGAGGCATCTTAATTCGAGCCTCAGGTACTAACAATTATTTAGCGTCCATTTAACTTTGCCATGAAACTTTCAGAACCATTTATCTTATTTATCGTATTGTAAAGACGGAATAGTTTCAAGAGACAATTCATGGTATTATTATTATATTTCGATGATAGTCTTTGATCGTTGCAAAATAACTTTGTTAGTTGTTTACAAAATAGACCCGGAAATAATTTGGGGTAAAAGGGTAACATTGATATTTGTTGGAAACGAAGAGGAAAATAGAGGTTTATATAGCTCTACTAAACAAATTAAGTTTTAAGAGTTAAAGAAATATATGAAACTTGTAATATATCGTTAAAGTTAGGTGTATAGACCTTAACTATATACGTATTTTACTAAGTACATCCTAGCCTCGGAGATCTTTTCATTTGAAGGCCAATGTTTTCGTCTCCATTGAAATATATCACACTTCACAAATAAATGAAAAATAGATGAAAAGTGAGTTTACTAGTAGCTAACCTTTTGACATCAATCATAATGACTATTGAAATAAGTATATTTACATTTGCTATTTCTACTTTCCCCAGGGCTAGTGATTTCCAAAGAACTTCCACATTTGCGCTGAAAGCCTGATTAATAAAGAAATGTATGTATGTAAAAGCACAGAACCTCTACACAACCTGTTGCAAATATTACACAATTTGACAAATACAGACATATTCCTAGCAACCACACCATTTTCACTTCACTTACCTTTTTCCTATTAAAACATTACCCCTCTCAGTGACCTTTCGATTAATCCATTAACTAATATTATTCCTATTACAAGATCTTATATATATATTTATTGTCATAGGTTTAGGAGTATTTTGAAATGAATAATTTTAATAAATACTTATCTTTAGAAATTAGAAAATGTTTTTTTAAAAGAAAATAGACCTTTTAAGTGATAATAATTCTGCAATAAAAATAAAAAATTGGACATTAATAGATACTCCAACTTTATTTATTTTTAAAAATTTCCATAAAACAAGAAACTACTTTCCCGTTAACTAATAATAAACGTTATATATAAGAGCGTCATCTGGCGTCAAAACATGAAAAGAACACAGATTTGTTGGTATTAGCGCCATCTAGTAAAGTTGTATACGAACGATGTACATATCATTGTTTCAAACTATTGAATTAAAACTGTTCGGTGAGATTATGTAACATAATTTTGCATTTTAAGTTTATGGACATAATTGGGAGAAAACGATTGCTAGTTATTCATGTTTATTAGAAAATTAAGATTCTTTCAATATAGATAAAATGTTTGAAAAATAGTTAAATATAAAAGATTTATTATATCAGAACAAAGTCCTGCAATAAAAACGCTGACTTGACGACAAAACTAACTCTTTAATAATCTAAGATACTTTCACAGCCAAGTTTTGTACTTAACACATGCATAAACGTCTGTAATATATTTTTGGTAAGTATACGACCCGAGAAAGTAATATGTCAAACTCACATAATATGATTGTCTTTTAATGACACTAGACAGCGCTGATTCCAGTCCACTCTTAATTTATTATTATATGTTACGTCTTATGAAATCATAAATCTCCCTGAATTCAGAACAAATAATTTAAAATGTTTTCAAATACAACAATTGAGAATTAAATCAGACGAGAAAAGAACAAAATTTTTGTTATACCTTATAATTTTTATTATAACTCAATCGTAAATAGCTCTAATGTCGTTTGAAAACAAAAACAGGAATTTAATTTAGTTGCTTTTAGAGTTTGAATTGAAAAGACTTTTGGAGACTAACTTTTTACTTTACACAGAGTGTTAAGTTCCCAAAATATAGATGAGGAATAATTTATAGTTTTCTACTCCCAAATCAAAGACTAGCTATTCCGTATTTTTATATTAATAACATAACGGTTCATAAAAAATGCTTGTAAAATTCTAAGAACACTTCCGTGAGTGTCAAGATCATCATCCAACATTAGGGACATAGTTAAGACAATACCGAATACAGTTAACTATATGGGTACATGTTAACCAACCGGTAGATAGGTCCAGCGTCTGTCTCATATAACTAACTATAACAAGTGTTAGGCTGTAACTTTTATTTCTTTTGATGTGTAAACTGTATATGTTTTTAGTCGCATTTACATAACTCAGTTTAAGCATGAATCACCAAAAACGCGTTCATCAGTGAATCTTCACAAATTTTCACATCATATTCCTGACCAAACAGATATGTTTTTCAAATGATAAAATTATACGGTAGCATTATGAAAATTCATCAAATTAAATTTAATTTGGGTCTTTCTGGGTATAGAAATAAAGCAAAAGAATTAAATTGTTATTTATTGCGTTTATTAGAATTTAGCAACGCTCTAGTGAGTCCTGCTATTGGCGCTTCAACTGCCAGCCAGAGAAAAGTCGCACAAAGAAAGGAGAGGAATATTGACGCACTGAGCAAAATGAACTGGAAAAAAATAAAAGGGTTTGATATCATGGAAAAACATTAAGAATAATACAGATTATAAGAAATTTAAACTCAGATTTAAATGGCAAAACAATAATTCAATTTTAAAATATATCGACATGAGGGTTCGGTGTGGTACAATTTTAACCACTTCGTTAAACAAGTATGTTGTCCTCGATAGAGTTGGCAAATTAAGTAATTTATACATCTCATATCGGGATCAAAGTAAAAAATGAAACTTATAATCTTTTATAAATTATTACGTAATGTGCATTTGTTTCTACAACTTTCAACCCATCAAAAACCCTTGAAATATTGACTATTTTTACTCTACATAATGCATTTAATAAAGCAGTGTTTAAAGGTTGAAACAATATAACATACACAACAAAAAGTTGACAATGTTAGTACATATCATGTTTATCTTAAAATTACATGTTATCGTATGAACCTTACCACGTTGTATTCTGAAACAATTAGTTCCTTTGTTTGTGCTCCAGCATAGGCCCTCTGAAATATGGTATGCAATAAGAAGGCGCTATAGGAGACGCGACCAGCCCACGTAAATCCTTTCCATTCCAGTATGGGGCGGTAAACATCTGTAAATAAATCATTCATTAATTTCTAATCACAAAACTAATAATAATAATGTAAATTTATCTATAACTTACTTTCCAATTTGAATATTGATCCCACAATAAAACAAGTAACAAGGAATTGAAAGAGTGGTTTATTAAAGGTAGCATAGGTCACTCTCAAAAAGGTGGAATGTGTTACTCCATCTAAATAAAAAATACCTCCTGCCAATATTATTCCGATTCCTATAGGAAACATTATCCACGTGACCCATTGGTATAACCTTAAATACTTTTAAAATAGATATGTTAGAAAATTCGTGAATAAAAAGACATATAGATAGAATATAAGATTGTTACCTTAACTTTGGATAAATCTATTTCTTTCATCTGCCAATGATAAGAAAGAAAACCTCCAGCTAAACCCAAAGAATATGTAGAGAGATTTGTATGTCCAGGGATATACTTCAATTTGAAAGTTTTATCATTCACATAGTAACTTCTGTACGTCCTGAGGTTTAAATAACATTACTTCATACATTTCATAAAAATTATCATCATGAAAGCAAAAAAAATGTTTTTTAAAAAGTAAGACTGAACTTACTCAGGGGACTGTATGACAACAGGATCCAAATCTTGGAAATATGTTAAAGAAGCCGTGATGACTAGTGATAAGAGGAATAGGATTGAAAGCATTATCTTCCGAGCCTTCGGGCCTTGGACCATTACAAATAAAAATAGGCCCAAGCAGAAAAGCTGGGTGTCTGCTGCTAAATACCTAAAGAATTTAGCCAATTTTGTTCATACTTGATTTGTAATTTATGTCAAATAAAAAAAAATTAGGCACCATAATTTTTCATTAATTTACCATCCTTGAGGGAAACATAGATCGTCCTGGTACACGTAGTTATTGAAGTAAAATATATTTGCCCACCAATAATTACGACAATAATTGGACTCGCTTGTGACCACTAGCTTCCACAGAGGTCCACTTCCTATGTGACGCATCCATGTGGCTATTGTCGCTATTACCAGCGCGTACGGTGGGGTTAGCCTTAAAAATTTATCAAGAAAACATTATACTTTGGGACCAGCTATTAAAATAGTAGTTCCGTTTCATTGTTTTTATATGTTTTTTTATTATTTTTAGACACGTATAATAATAAAAAATAATACACCTAGAAAATATTTCGACCAAGCTCATGGTTTAAATTCATCTTTTTTGGTTTGAAAAATAATATAACGCTACATTTTTGTTCTTCAGTCATACGACAAGTAAAGAAATGATTCAAAACTTATTAGATTGTACAAAAATTTCAAAATCATTTTTATAATTACCTGATCCACCTCAATAAAATGCCTTTTGGTATATGACTCCATGTTATCTGAGTTTTCTCTGAGTGAATCTGTAGATTGTATGTCAGCAGGAAACCAGACATTACAAAGAATGTATGAGTGACCAACGTTCCATTGAATAGAAATTGTTTTAATGGGTCGTCGTAAGACTTAAACAAAAATTAAAAGTAATTATTTAACCCCTTTTTTTTATTTAAATACAAAACATCTTATCATAGCAAGATTTGTCAAAAAAAATTAAATAATTTATATTACAATCATTTTGTAATTGTGGTGCGGTTTTTCATTGATACTATATAAATCCATGTATATAACTTAAACTTTACACATTTTTAATAGTAAATTGAAGATTTACTATTGAAACTAGCTTAACGAAATTTTCTTCCATTACATTAAGACTGAGTCTAAGTAAATACATTATTTCTTTAATATTAATTCGTCAATTCAAAAGTATTTTGTCTCATATAAAGTATATAGTATTTTTTTGCACTTCGATGTTGACAAAATTCCGTTTTTTAATTGAGTTCAATGCAATTGATCTGTCATGTTAAGAATAATGTTTACATTATTCACAAATAGAAAATCTCATTACTTTTTATACAATGTTATATAAAGTAAGCTTTAAGTTGTTTTTACGATCATCACTAAATCATAGATTTATTGCGAAAATAATCATGTTAAATTAGACAGGGAAATTACATAACTTTATAAAAATAGTATTTATTTATTTTCTACTAAATATGTATGTTATTTCTCTTTTTATTTATTCAATGCATCCAAGATTTACAGTCTTTATATATTGACAAACGATAAAATTGTTATAGAATGTAATACTTTTTATTAAGATAAATACCTTTTCAATAAAAAGTGGATTTGATACATAAGTAATCGTCATAATGAGGGCAGTATGCGAAAATATGACACACACAATCGTCATCGCTCTGAAAGAAATCAGAAAAATAAAATACTAACTAATAAGATAGTATCATATTTATTATATTAATTTTGATTAAGATTTTATATTTATGAAACTAATATTTTTCGGCTATACTATGCTTTCTTTATTTTTGTAAAAAAAACTACAAACTCCCGACTTGTACTTTTTAACAAACGTATACATTTCAGCAAACAAACCGTCGAGACTAGGTAGTTTTTACAAAAATAAAGGATGTGTAGTATATTCGGTAAATATTAGTTTCTTTTAAATGAAGACTCGCGAAAATCATATCTCATTATAAGAATTTATATTCTTCACAACAACAAGGCGAAGCACATTTAGAAATAAAAAGAAATATGTATGCATATCATGTAGTATCAAGGGTATAAACAGACCATTACTTTTATCAAATGTCCCAAATTTGGTGACAAAAATAGAACATATATTTTTCTTTATTGGCTATTAGAATAATATTTGAAACAAGTATCTTTCCTACCTTAATCCATTAAATAATTTGAGTCTTTCTATCCTGGGGTCATCACCACTGCCTCCGGGAGAAGTTAATCTTTTCCAATTTCGTTTCACAGAAAATGATAATAAGTAGGGGTTCCCTATATGCAGCAGAAAGATGTATAAAGTACACCAGGAAAATATTTCAAAAATATTATTAAATATATTTCCAATTAATATGTCTAACAGTTTATGTACCTATCAACAATTATTACCTATAATTATAATTAAACTTTAAACCACATGACCTTAAACGAGCCATAAACAGTGTCGTAATGTTGTTACCTTTTTTACTATCATCGTTGCAGAAAATTAAGTCGTAAAAGCTTCCAATGGCGTTGATTAAAAATATCACTATATATACAGTTGCAACTATATAATCACTTGAATCTAAAATCATTTTGTCATTATCCTTATTACAGTAGAATAATTCGGACAGTCTTGCTTCTAGTCGATAATGCCTCCATAGCGTGTCGTTTATGCATTGTTCAAGGACGTCGCTTACGTCCACATTTCTATTAGAGGTCTGGTTTAATATATCTCTGCAGGCAATAGTGACGCATGTAGCTCTGTGCATTTGTGTGTGATTAAAATGTTTAATCGTATGCTCTGAGTATTCCTAAAAAACAAAGAAAACAACTGACTGCAATTGAAGTATAAGAATAAAGCGGAAAACTTGTTTTGTTATTATGTCAATAACATGAAGTGCAAAGGAGTAAGCTTAAAAATAATTTCATAGAAGATTTTAGAAATATCAACTCTGTAGAAACTCGTGTCATTAATAGGTTCATCTTTATGGAATCTCGTATTGTAAATTATATTTCACTTGCTTAAACTTACCCTTATAAACCGCATGAGATCAGAATGACCTCTAGAATGAAGGTCGAAGGTCGCCACACAGTAGGTTCCTCCAGTCTCCAACATGCATTCTTTATAGTCATCCATCATAAACAGTCTTGGCATTTTACGATATTCACTTTCTAAAATGATACATTACAAAGGATTCTTATAAAATGTAATGTTATCTTAAAACACATAATCGAAGTCTTTGAAAAACTATTCATTAACTACATTTAACTAGGTTTTGCATACGGTTTCACCTATATGAAACGTACTTTAATGTTCCCAGGAAGTAAAATTTCTTATTTTCCGCTCAACCACACAGTGTCTTTTAATTCTTCATATATTTTATGGAGAACTTAAATCAAACAGAGTCGTATTTCAATATCGTTTTCAGTATAATATTAAGATTATTATAAGATTATTATTATTAATACATATTATTAAAATTTGAGTCTCTAATAGCCTTTGAGTTTTTAGTAGTGAAATAAATATATATGAATTATACAAGGCACATACATTAAAATAATAATTTTTTACAATTTTTGTCTGACTGTCTGTCTGTGGGTTCCAGCTAATCTCTGTTATGGCTGGGCCGATTATGCCGCAATTTTTATTGGTAGATTTCTAATGTAATAAGCAATTGGTTCGACTAGTTTTATCCCGATCCCGTATCCAGATCTAGACTTTAAGCCTATTGGCACGCGAGTGGAAAACGGTCCATGTGGCGCTTTAAAGGTCTCATTGTTTATTTTTAAGCAAACGGAGTCGCGGGTAAGAGCCAGTTATATATGTGTTTCATTCTGTTTAGATCTAGCAGAAAGTTAACAAACGTAAAATTTACATTAGGGGACTTGTCCAAAGAAGTTTTTTATGAAATAATTTCATAACATTTTAACCGTTAACATTCCTGCTATTAATATTATTATAAAATCAATAGTGAATTGCCCCCTTTTGTAAATTGAAAAAAAGGAATTCACGTTAAAAGGTCGTTTTGAGTTATTTCTCTTTTGTACATATTATGATAAAATTAGGACTTATAACAAAATTTATCAAATCACCACTTCAAGTATTTATCACCTTGATGTTAACACAATATGATATTTTAACAGAGCAATAAGTTCAGTATTTACGGTGTACTAAGTTAACATTTTATTTTAGTCAGTATGACTAAAGTAAGTTGTTTATATACAAATAAATAAAATCTCGTAACTTTAAGTAAATCTACAAAAAGTATATCATACTCTACATTGGGATGTTATTAAAACGAATAAATTTATATATAACATTACTATGATAGTTTACTTATAATTTTGTCAGAAAGAACATTGTTAACAGACCCTAATCTTGAAAATAATGGCAATTTCATTAAATTTATGAGTAGAGATTGTACAAATAATTGAATTACTAATTGTTTCAATTCTCAGATAAAAAAAAAATTGAAAATTCTGTAACCATATTCAAACCTAATATTGTTTTGATGATGATGTTTTACTATTACTTCAGATCAATTTAGCTATGAGAAAATAGATGCTCTTATTTGACATGTTTAAAATTGAATAAAAAATATAAAAAGAGATTTCGTCTACAAATCTCTATGTTATTCAAATAAAACATTTTCATTTTAGATGAATCCAGATGTCCTTGAATCCATCCATCATTGTCCATCTTTTTATTCTTTACAACAACAACTGATCGCTTATACTCAACTAGATTATGAAATTTAAAGTACTTAAAATTATTTGGAGACATTTTATTGATGCTAGCCCACGAATCTATTACTTATAAGTTATAACATTGAATTTATACTATTTCAATACTAAAAGAAACCTTATTTCAATTAAAATGACATATTGGAACCTCATAAACGTCCATACCAATGAGGATATTGTAGAATAATATTTTTACTGATTATCACAAACACACATATTTAACATCAACCAATTTATTTAAACAGTATTGTGTATCTTATATATTAAGTATCAATCATATAAAACTATTTGCATTAATCAATCTGTCTCTTGCTAATAACCGCATCTTCTGAGTTTTTCCGAAACAAACAGACACACTGATATTAACTACTTAGACACTATTTATTTAGTAAGTATAAAATATATACGTACAAAATACATATTTGAAAAACCCCAATATCATAACCAATTATTTTTTTTATAAAATTTCATCAATAGATATTTACAGTTTTTATGAGAGAAAAATAGTTAAATAGAAAGATATTTCTATACAAATAAAGCATTTAAATAAACACGCATATAGAAGGTCAATTGCCAGAGACCTAAACAAACTCTATTAGCTAATTACACGATAGAACCTGTGACATTCGCTGCTAAGAAAAACACGTGATGACAAATAATATTGTACTTAAAATTTATTGTTACATAAAAATAAAGAAAAAATAAAATTCAGATGTTTTTAAACCAGTATTTAAAGTATAATAAAAATATTTCACAATCAACTAGTGTAATTTATTTCGTTAATATATTGTTTATTGAGTTTAGGTTAATAACAATTTTAAAATAATTAGGTGAAAATTGAATTTTTTATAGTCAAAAATATTTATTTTTATAAAATAAGCACTGCCTTATTATATTAATAATATTCTGTGCGCTATTAAGTTAATAATTATGATGTAAAAGGACATATAAATTATTTACAAATCATTAAGTTACTTTTCCATCCATTTTAAATAAATACATGCAGTTATTTATTCTTAATTATTTTGGTATTGTATCTTTCAGAGAATTTAAATAAATTTATCTATATTTATTAATAAACTGTAAGAATTATTATGTACATTCATTGACTGCCACGGAAACGAAAAAGTAACAAATCCTCAGAGATATATAGATATACATAGATAGATCCTTACATAATTTATTCTAAAAATATTTTGGCACATTATGTAAAATTGTAACATCTGTCAATGACAGTTTTGTGCAATGGTTATGTTTCAAAGATTTTAAAGTCAAAGTAATATTATGTCCATAGTAATGAATGTAGTAATAGTATAGTATGTTGTATATCACAAATCAGAATCAGAGAAGTCATGTCATTGAAACTTTTAACTGAATTTTAATAATAAGTTGTCAAAAGAGATTAAAAATATCAAATTTAAAAACACCTCCTACGATTAATCATTGACTGATTATTTCATGTGAAGCACAATAAATTATATGCATAAAATTCTTTACAGCGTTTGTGAACTGTTTCGATACTTTTACACTGCTGGGCGAATATTAACTAAACATGGCCAATAACAAGAATAAACTGGCTTTCAAATTAATGAAATCGGTTAATTTATTTAAGAGCTACGATGCCACCTTTAGACACAGTCGTACAGATAGACATTGACGTCTTTATGTACTTGCTTCGTTGGAAAAAAGCTAAAAAATTATAAAGTTTATTTAAAACTTGTGTAACAAAATTAATTCCTTTTGATTAATGTTATCAAATTGGTTAGTATCAGTAAAAAAATATATAATACTTATTACTTTTGTATACAAATATAAATATTCAATTCACCTATTGTTACATCAAATTAAAGGTATATGTATATTTTAAATAAATATCAGTATTAAAGTTAAAAAACCATATCTAAGGCACGTTGCTTAGTGTAAAAATAAATTGATTGTCTCTAATATACAATATATTGTTATGTACTGTCAAAATTAATAGAGTTAAAAAGAAGTGTGATTTTCATACTTTTCATCTGTCAGTAAAGAAATATATTATTTTAAATAGAATTTCTTTCATAACCGTGACCACAGCGCAACTTATTGTTAGGAAACATACCAAGGCATCTGTCATGTTTCCTCAACTATGTCGCGCTTGAACCACAGTTCAATGTCAACGCATGTCCATTTTAAAATTATTTGCTTTGTAAACATAAAATAATAACATTTGATAATAATAGTCACCATGAATATAATATAATGTAAATATATAAAAATATAATTTGGATAAGAGACATTATTCTATATTTACTTTTACATATGTATATTATTTAACAATCACTTTTATTTTATACATTATACAATGAAAATTCCACGTTTCTAACATTAGAAACTTAAATTATATTATCGTGTGTGTAGTATACCTATTATTTGTTTTATTAAAATATCGATATTGTATTGTGAATAATAAAATTAATGAGATACATTAATTTTATGACGAAGAAGACTTTGATTAAAAGACCTATAGATAAACTGTATTTAGTTACATAGCCAAGACTTTGTTTTATACATTTAAGGATACATATGAAATTACATTTGGGTTAGCTTCCTTGAGATAAATTGAGTGTATGGAAGATCAGTAACTTCTTTCTTTCACTTACCATTGACACTATATATAACAGCCAGACTTGATTTAATTAGCATCAAAAAGGCCAAGATTAGCAGCATGGTGGATAGCACAGCGTAAAAAAAATCACACGTCCAGACACTTAACAGTACTTAAGACAAGTAACTTGCGTTACTTATTATCCTTGTTGTAAACTGTCGTTATGTAAGGCTATTATCTGAATCAAGATCAAATGTTACATGAAAATATCGTGTACAAACGAATTAGACGTCCTACGAGTGGCTAGATGACAATATTGTTGGTTTCTTCCGTTATTTCATTATTTTATATCTAGTTTTACTTGTGTTTTATATTTTCATATAAATATGATAAGAAATTGCATGTTTCACATCACAATTATCTATAACTAGCTTCAAAATGTTGATAAAATTTTATATCAATATTAATATAACTAAATGAGTTTAGAAACTTTGTTTACAAAATCCCTGTCCTGACAAAAAATATGGAAAAAAAAATTCTAGTAGAGAGTTGGAAAATAATGACAAGCTTCTGGACAACTGACATATAACGTTTTCTAATTAGTTTTGACACTTGAATTTAGCTATAGACTTAATCGATATCACTCGCTGCTAATTTTCTACCTGATACAAGTTTCAAAAGAGTTGCTGCTCATGAAATCTAAGTAATATGATGGAATATACATATATAAACCTACAGTAAACGGTCCCATTATTTTGTCCAAAATTTGAGTCCAAAATACTGAGCAGTGGAAGTATGGTCTGGATGAGAGAACTGCACCATTTATATCAGTAACTGTTAATTA